GCCGTTGATAGCCAACATAGTTCCAGGGTGTTTTAAACGGTCTACATCTTCCATCGTAATATCTTTCCGTAAACCCTTTGGACTGCTGATTGCGACGGATGCTGTCATAATTTTCGTTTTTTGGTGTTTATTTGTAGCCCCACTCTCATGACAGTGTTGTACAAGCTTTCAGTGAATGTCAGTAGGTCACCTACGGAGTTGCTCAGCAGCACGACATCGTCGGAATACTCAAGATCTGTTAGGAATACCGTTGGGTATCTCCAGCTGCGTCGCTCTCTGACGCTCGTAAGTTCCTCTTTGTTATTTGGGGCGACGCAGTTCCGCATAACGTAGTCTTTCATATTGAATCTCAAAAAAAGAGCAACTCGTCTTGACGAACCCACGAAAATGTTGCACCAATCCGACAGTCATCCTTCGGTTCGAGCGGCGCGTTTTCCATTCATACAGACCTTCCGTCAGGTTTACTATCGTCTTTGGAATCCCTTAGTGACGAACAACACGCCACGTTGTCTGATGTTGAACGGAATCGAAGGCTACCCGTAAGCCCAGTAACGTTGTGTGCTAGAGAAGTTGCAAGCTCAGTACTGCTCGATGATTCGCTTCATCACAGAGATGTTGCCATTGCATGAATTCCCATGTCAGAAACTTGTTTGGTTAGTTCAGGCGAAGGATTGAGGGATTCCTTTAGTCGTCCGAGAATGATTCGCGCGAACACATTCTCCGACCCCGGCAGAAGGGTGATTCTTCGATAATTGGTACAGTCGGCGCGACTGTTGAAGAACGGGATTATCACGCGTTTCTTTCAGTTTTTGGAATCACTGACTTTCGCCACATGTGCTCAAAAATCAGTTCGATCCAGTGGAGGTGGTTTAAACCTTTGCATTTCGAGATTTCAACCCCAGTCCAGATGTGCATGACTTCGAACTTCGGCAGAGTCGTATCGCCTCTCGGATTTCTTCGGTTGATGGTGGTGCACAGTCGACATCTGTATCTTTTCCAACTTCTTATTTTTTTGGGGACTTACCAGAGAGCCAGGTCTCTGTAAAGCTCTGCGAAGTTGCCGACCCATCGCTGTAACGGCTGGTGACTTGCTGTATATCAAGCTGTCGTGATTTCAGACTTTTAGTCGCTAATTCAGATACAATCTTTCGCAGCTATGTTGCATACGGAAGGCATGAGGTAATGCTGCGACATGGCTACTCGTCACGACATCATTATCTCTGTACTGTAACTCGGCAAGCTGTCCATCCGATTATCTTGAATGTGCCTCTTCTAAAACGAGACTCTCAATGCTGTTTCGAAGCAGAACGTCGAGAAGAGAGTTGAATGGTACATTGGAAAATACATTTCGATGGCTAACTCCATTTTGATTGTCAGCTACTCGAATGGCACCGTTTTTCTAACTCAGCTTAATAGCAGACATGGTTTAATCAGGGAAAGAATGCGTTGAAGTTTTCGTTAGCATTTGATGATTTCCTAGTTCGTTTAATCGCGTACTGAATCAAACGTTGCCTAAAAGTCGATGAAAATGGCGTCTCAGTTTGATGGGAGTTGTCCGCCTTTCTTTTTAGTAACAGGAAGAGCAAAAATTTGATCTGAACCGACATTACCTCATTCGGTTACCTGCGTGATTTGGGCAGACTCAAATCATTTGCCTTTATCATTTCTATATACTTCATAATTGCGATTGACCTGAATGAGATAGAACGGTACTGAGATATTCCAGCGCTCGATTGTCACCTGAATTAAATGCCGGGATAATGACTGCACGATTTCATTTTTCTCTGGGATACTTAAGACAACATTTGATTAAAGACCGCCTCGACCTATCTTGCTAATTCCTGTTGACTGAGAATTCGAAGTCGTGAAATGAAGAGAAAACATGTCGCCCCATTATCATGCTCAAGAGTTCGACCTCTATTCAAATTACTTTTCCCAGACTTCATAACGTCATATCTCTGAATGGAAGATTACATTTGTCACTGTCCAACTTAGGCGCATAAAATGTTATTTTATGGTTGTGACTTCTTGCATGACTGCCAGACATGATGATCTGCATAGAGGTTAGTTAAGCTCGGTAAGCTTGCTGGTCAAGTCGATTACTGTCTTCGATAATGACTCTGTTAAGTTACGCTTCGATACTTCGAGCTTTTGGAACTTTCTTTAGCCGTGTGTCAGCACAGCGATCGGTTTGAAAGTGCGCTTCTATAGGATGTTTCGAATGTGGTATGCCTTAAGGAAACGATGCGATGGGAACCCCGCGTTGTACCATTATTTGGTCGCTGTTGACGCGTTGCGTTTATTGTCGCTTTTGTGGCTACTTCGCGAAATTGTTTAGGTGATTGATGGACAAATCAAGTGACGAATCTTCTGACGGCCGCCACTCAGAGGAAAAAAGCTCTCATGGTGAACAAGAGGACGATATTCCAGATGTGGCCAATGCAGGACCAGCCCCTTTCAAATTGGACAAGAAGCACGGATTTCTGAAGAGTATTATCAGAAATCAGATTGATCGGTAAACTTGCCATTCTACTGTTCTTTATCTAATCTAGCTGAGATATTCTGACTTCGTGTGCCGATATACCTGCAGCACAAAACAGACTTTTTTGTGAGGTGGATGAGAATAAAAACGCATTAACCGCCCGAAGGTCGATCGACATGAATCATTGCATGCTTATGGTTTGTTGCGCCAAACAGCGTTT